CATGTGCCTGTCCACCAGAATGTTAACAAGCTGGCTAAGTGGCAAGCTGCTTACCCTGCTGACAACCTTTAACATCCTACGTAATAAGGTATAGTCTTTCTTCAATAGCCCAGGAAAGACTAAGGGGGAGCAATAGAGAATTATAGGCAGAATACGGGAGTTAACAAATTGTAGTAGTAAGGGTTGGGTTACACCAGAATGTCTTAACTTCTTGATGTAGAAGGTAAGACGGTATATTTTCTTGGAAATCGTCAAGATATGAGACGACCAGGAAAGATCAGAAGATAGAGTGACGCCTAGGTATTTAATTTCCGACTTAGTTTCTATTTCAGTGCCATCTATGTTGCACACCTCGTGAGCGCTAACCAGTTTGTTTAGGTCAGATTTATGCCTAAAGGTGAAATTAACTGTTTGGCATTTGGAGGGGTTTAAGGTTAGACCGTTTTCCTTGGACCATTGGCTAATTTCTGATAAGAAGCCATTTAGTTTAGAGCAGTCATTTTGACATTTGACAGGTAAAGATACAGTTAGGTCATCAGCATATTTGACAAAGTTAATATCATTTGAAGACGGTAGGTCATGTAGGAAGAATGAAAAGAGAAGTGGGGAGAGTACAGCACCTTGGGGGACACCAGATTCAGTGAGCACAGCAGAGGAGGATTGACCTTTGTATACGGTGTACTGCATTCTGTTTGAAAAGTAGGAATGCAACCACTTAGTGACCCAAGACTCGGTTTGTGTCGTGGAGAGCTTATTTAGCAAGAGACTTCTAGGTACAGAGTCGAAAGCAGAAGTAAAGTCAAGAAACGTGCAGCGGACATATTTGGCACCTTTGTCTAATGATGAGACAATACTGTTGTGTAAGACGGCTGCAGCGTCTAAAGTACTCCTACCCTGTCTGTAGGCAAATTGTTTGGGGTCTTCGAAGCTTTTAAGGGAGGGTTCGAGTTTAAGAAGTATTAGTTTTTCCATGAGCTTTAGAAACGGGGAAGTGATGGCGATGGGTCTGAACTTTACGTTCTTGCTATTTCCAGGTTTAGGGACAGGGACTATTTTAATGTCTTTCCATGGAACAGGTACAACGTTTTCGGAGAAAGAAGCATTTAGTATATTAGTTAGAGGAGAACATAAAGCATCTGCACATTGTTTTAGGACATATGCAGGTATGCCATCAGGGCCAAGACTATGTGAGGGCTTAAGAGTTTTAAGACATTTCAAAACATCGAGAGTATTGAAGTCCTGGAAGTTATCAGCTACAAGATTGGTAACATTAGAAGTGGTTATGGTAGAAGGAGAGCGTATAAAAGACAGATTAAGAGCATTAACATCACAAGAGGGAAAAACATTACATCGCTTACTATTGCCAGTAATTTCATTGAAAAGTTTCCACATGCTGTTTGGAGATTTGCATGATAAAAGTGTTTGGTTATAGATAGCATTAAGATTTTTGATTTCAGATTTGATTTGAGCATTTATCTTTTTAAGTCCTAACTTGTCTTTGCATTTATATAACATTTCTTTTTGCCTGCGAAGTTGTTTGAGATGGGGAGACGAGAAGCGGTCGAGGCGTTTGAACAGTGTTTGTTTGGGACAGCATATGTCAAGGCAGAACTTAAGATAATCCATTATATTGGTGATTGAGTCATCTAATGTACTTTCATAGAATAGATCCCAGTTGGTATCTTTTAACATGCATCTTAGATTGAGTAAGTTGTCAGATGTGTAGCATCTTTCTTGTGCTCTCGTAGACAGGTGTGAGAAGATTTTAATATGTGTTTTGCTGTATATTTTTGGCAAAACGCGGACAATGCAGTGATCGGAGTTATGTATCGGTGAACGTCTACGTGTTTCATATACTCCTTCGTCATTAGTAAAAACAAGGTCGAGGGTTTTGTCAAGTCGAGTGGGAAATTTGACTATGTTTGTGTGACCAAGAGCTTCAAGAAAGGAGCAATCTGATGTGTTGAAGTCTCCAGTAATAACGGATAGAGAGTTGTCGAAGTTGGCAGCAGCAAACATGGTGAATTCATCAGCAAAATTAGATAGATCAGATGGAGAGCAACTAGGAGAAATGTACATGTTTGTAATATAGAATTGTTTGTATTTGGGGATATGTTTGGGGCGACATTTGACAGTAATACAGTCAATGAAGTCATTTGAGAAGGTGAAGCAGATGTTATTTGAGACAGACCATTTGGAGTGAATAAAAGTTGCAACGCCACCACCATTTTTCTTATTACAACATTGACGGTCTTGTCGAAATAAAATAAAGTCCTTTAGTGAGATAAGGTTGTCATCATACAGTTCATGCAACCACGTTTCTTGTAATGCGATTATGGCAGTGTTATGATACGTATCAGTTGACATCAGGGATTGTAGATACATTATCTTATTTGGTAGAGAGCGACAGTTTGAGTTCATTATGACGGGGACCGTAGTTAAGTGTATTGGTGTACGTTTGAGAGCTCTCTGCCAACCACTACGATGTTTCCTCCTTGGTTTCTTTGGAATATGAAAGTCATTTGGTCGTAAATTATTAATAAAGTTACGAGAGTAAATGATTCTGTTAGAATTCATATTTAAGTGATAAGTGTATGCTGGTAAACGGGAAACTGGATGCAAAATGTAGATATTTTGTTAGCAGGCCCAAAAATTCAACAGGCCGCCAAGTACAGTTATATGAACAAAAAGAACAAAGTTGTGTGAATAACTTGATATGATTATGAGCAATAGTTTGTGCTCGAAACGTCGTCAGTTCATATAGCTGTACAACACAGTGTGATTTATCAAAATAAAATCTTATCTACGGTGAGAGAAGTTGAACATGTTTTAAGCGTATCACGTGCTACCTGGCACCCGTTAGTCCAAGTGAATTTCCGTCCGTTTTCCGGGGGGGGGCTTTAGTGGCAAAATTTTGAACGAAACGACGGTAGCAAGAAGCAAGGCCCATGAAACTATGTACGTTAGTTGTCGATTTAAGGATAAGCCAGTTAAGGATTACTTGTGCTTCGCTTCTATCCATGCTAACTCCTCGTGGAGAACTCTCATGACTAAAGAAAGTGACAGATTTATTCAGGAAATGGCATTTTGAGGCTTTCGGCTTAAGATTATTCTTAAACGTTGGAATACGCCTCGAAGGTTGGCATGTTGTTCTTCGAGGGACTGTCCGAACACGATGGTATCGTTCTGGTAAATAAGGCATTGTTTAGGGAATAACCCTGCAAGTACATTCTGCATGAGCCGTTGAAACGCAGTAGGGGAATTAGACAGGCCAAATGGTATGGTTTCGAATTTATACAACACCGTAGGCACGACAAAGTCAGTTTTCGGTCGATCTTCGGGCGAATTTCGACTCGTCAATAGGCAGAAGCCAGGTCTAACGTGGAGAACCACTGGGCACCATCCAAAGCATCTAGTTAGTGTCTTTTCGAAGTGAGGGGAACAGTCTCGTTGTGTGATTGCATTTAGACGGTGGTAGTCTACGCACAGATGGAGGAGTCATCTTTCTTGCTCACAAGGACGACAAGAGATGCTCGCGGTGAAGTGGACGGTTTAATTACTTTCTACTGTAAAATTTCTGTTATCATCGTGTCCAACTGTTGTTGATAAAAAATAGGCACCCGCCAAGGTGGCATCATAAATGGCAAGTTATTCCCTGTCTTGGTACATGACAAAATAATGATTGCAGGTGAACCCTTATAAAGTCATGGGAAGGGTGACGGAATCCGTTGCCTAAATAGGGGCTCCGTTGGGGGTCATTAACTGCAGCTGATTGGTGAGAGGTTTAGGGTTGGCCCCCAGTCGCTGAAAAAACTCTGTGAGAACAACAGAGGACGATGACCCGGTGTCAGCCAGGAGAACTATGTCTACACCATGAACTTTAACCTCAAGGATAAGTGGGGATCTCAAACAGTGACTGAATAGGGTAGCATTAAGAAGTGGTTTTTTATTGTGTCCACATTTCCATGCTCTGCGACCAAACTGATGACAATAATAACAACTGTCGGGCTCATTATTTGGTTTGAAGGGGGCTGCAGATGGCGTTGTAGGTCGTACCGGTGATGGAACGTTAAGGAGATGTTGTCTGGGAGCTAGGACTGGCGTTCTTCAGCCATTGGTCTCTAGTTCATAACAGGATGTAGTGGCAGCTGACGAAAGAATATGATCTATATTCTCGAAGTGTTTGACTACCTCGAGAGCCTATGAGGTGGATTTTTCTGTTTGATGTAATAGCTGACACTTGAGGTCGTAAGATAAGAGGCCTTGTCCAAACCGAGTACACATGCAGAGGCACTAGAAGGTTTTGCGTAGCACTCACCTAGGATGCGCTAGTTGTCGTTGAGCGTCTCGGACTGGGAGAATCCCCCAGCGATTGCACGACGTAATGCGGCATCACTCAACGCTAACATGATCTGAGTATACTAGGCTTGTGTGGATAAATCTGTGAGGAGAGACTCCATGCGAAATTTCCACAGCTCATAGTCGCTGTTGATATCCAAAGTGGCGGCCCTCGCACAGGGAGAATGTGTTCTGTGGATGAAGGATATGTGTTGCCTTCCTGGTCGGAGACTATTGTAGGAGGTTCGAATGAGTCCGGTTTCATGTTTAGACTGAGTTTGGAACACTTCCGTCACCAATTTGTAACAGGAAAAGCAGCAGACACACAGGTAATAAAAACAGAACGCGAGCTGTGCAGGGAAACGTTTATCCCACGAAATCAACTTTTAAAAATTGCGGGATTCCAGTGACAACCTGTAGACTACCGTAGGTCATTTGATTAGCTGATGGATGCTGGCTTTATTTATTGAAAAAACCTCAAGGTTAGGTAATTTTTCGTTGTTTTACACGCATTTACACTTGTATTCCTGCTAAAGGTTGACGGAATACGACGTTTCGAGCATAAACAGCAAATGATGGTGTCCTTATCCGGCCGTAATTTACGACCAATTTACAAATTGTTGACATATATACTCTTCGGTTCAGAAAACTAATGACAAACTGGCCAATCACAAGCGAGCAATCGCTTGTTTATCTCATTCGCGGTCACTCAAAATTACGGCCGTCGTCAGGCTGCCTCTAGTGACAAATTGGCCAATCACGGGTGATGATCTGTTTATCTTACCTGCAGGCTCAGGTAATTACGACCGTCGACAGGCTCTAAATTTAGTCCAAACCAATTTGGGTACATAGTTTCCTCGTAATAGTCGCATTTCCCCAGTCGCGAGAGAAATTTTCACACCTGTGATTTGTCTATAACCACTTTACATATAAAATGGATATATTCGCCTAAAGCAGCTACACACCAAGGTAAAATCATTTCATTTTCATAAATGTATGTTTTGGTCTATCCTATCATTGCTGAAATACTAGTTCTAGATGGCACTTGAAACTTAGTCCATGTACTTCATCTATATATATATATTATATATATATATATGGACGTTTTTATTTTGGTGTTGTATGTTTGGCTATTCAAAGTTATTTTGGTGGTCATCATATTTTACCTTGACTGGTACCACAGATAGTTTGTTAGGTCTCTCCTGGACTTTTGGACACAGTACGGGTAAGTTACAAGTTCAGAAATTTATTCTCGCTGTAATTCTTTTGATTCCAACTTCTCCCCAATGATTTCAGTCTTCAAGTGTGTGACGCCGATAGGCTTGTGTTGCTACTTGTTCTTTTATACGTGCATAATCTGTGCCAGTGAATTATAAGTCTTCAATAGGGACTAGCGTGTTTCGTCTCACAACAGCCAAGCTAGTAAACATATTGATATAAGTATAAAACTTGGACACTGTGGTAGAGCATAACTCCATTATGGATAAGATTTTATTTTGATAAATCACACAGTGTGGTACAGTAATATTAACTGATGACGTTTCGAGCACAACCTATTGCTCATAATCATATCAGATCTTGTTAGATGAGTCAGAATTTCGGAAAAATAAGCGTGTTCAGGTCAAAATATACTTGATAGTTCATTATTACAATGCCCGCGCATGTATTGTAGTGCGAAATAAATAAAGTTGAACCGGTAGAGAAACAAATCACACAGGTTTCAAAACTTATGAATAACGATTTGTTGTCGACATCAGTCGTATGAAAAGTTGAAACTCTCTAGATCTATTGTACCTTGACTCTATGGCCTGCTGTAGATACACAAATCTGAACTACCATTTCGTTACATTCTTGACATAATAGGTTCACGTTATCGTAATGTCTCAAAGGGGAAACGGAACTCCAAGATCGTTTAAAACGACGAGCATGTAGCTAGTCTTTGCATCTAAATTTGAATTAATTAATTGCATTGGTAATCTGGACTTCGCCGATGATATGTGTCTGATTTCCCACAAACTGGAAGATATGCAAGTTAAAAGCAACAAGTTGACAGAAGAAGCATCAAGGATAGGACTTCAGGTAAACATGGAGAAAACAGAGGTGAAGATTCCTGGCCAACACCAACAACAGACAACAATCAGCCTGCATAAATGGGAGGAACCTGAAAGAAAAAACCTCCTTTACCTACCTGGAAAGCATCGTTTCAACTACAGGCGGACGGAACTGACGAGGACATCAAAGCCAGAATCGGAAAAGCAAGACATACTTTCATTACTCTTAAGTCTGTGTGGAAGTCAACAGCACTCAGCATCAAAAATAAGATCCGGATTTTCAGCTCCAATGTGAAGTCAGTCAGTGCTACTATACGGATCAGAGACTTGCACTGCGCGTCATAAAGAGCATCTCAAACAAACTTCAGACCTTCATTAACAGCTGTCTTCGCTCAATACTCAAGATCAGATGGCTGGCCAGAAAAGATCAGCAGCAGGGATCTCTGGTAATGAGCGAACCAATCAGGAACCGATTGTGAAACAAATATGAGGAAGAAATGGAGATGGATTGGCCATAATCTGAGGAAACCATCAAGTGACATCACTAGACAAGCCATTGCTCGAGTGGAACCCTAAAGGGAAGTGGCGAGTTGGTCGTCCAAGGGTGACTTGGAGAGGTCATGCGAGGAGGAGATGAAAGCATGTGGACAGACCTGGAGTGGGGTGGAAAAGTTGGCAGAAAACAGAAGGCAATGGAGGCGCGCAGCTGAAGCCCTATGTTCCTCTAGGAACTAAAGGATACAATAATAATAATAATTGCATTGGTAATGTTAATATGAAAACTGTTGCCACTTGATGTATACTCGTTGTTTACTGATTTTTCCTTATAGGTAGTATTATGCTTTATTTGTAATAACACCGACTTCACAAAGTAAATATAGGAATGTCAACTTCATACTTTAAAGAGCCTGTACCTCGATGTACATTGTGTTTGATTTCATCTTAAGTGAGACGTTAAAATACCGATGAAGCATTGACTAACCCACATGGTAACGTTTTGAATACATACAAGCCTGATTGAACAATAAATGCCGTTTTCCGTCTGTCTTCGAAGTTCCTCATCATCTTCGCTATACTTATATCTAGTTTCTTTTACATCACATAAAACATGCGGTTTATTCAATAATTATCAGTTTTAGGTATAGAGGGGTAAAAATAAGAGATTAAAAGTCATCGAAACAACTAACTAATAGATGTTAGTAACGAGATATCTAACTTTTAAAGCAGGGGTGAAAATTAATCACGGAATTCAAGAGAAGGGGATTCTTAGGCATTAGCAACAAGTTATTACATAACCAAGAAATGTGTAAAATAATGATGACTAAGAAGAATAGGATGACTAAGGAGAATTACGTAAAATGCAAACAAGTTAATGGGATTAGCTAGAATTGTAAAAATTAACAAGGTCAAAAGATAGTTACAAGGAAAAGAGGAAATCGTTTGTATAACTTGGTGCATATTACGTAGTTGGCCACGGCAAAGGTAGGGGCTGCACAATTTTCTTTTGAACACACAGATTTAGCTTGTTTAGGTGAATTCCGATTGCCTCTGCTGTATGTAATAGTCGTGCTTGTAGTGCACAAGAAACGTTGGGTGACATAGGATAAATAACCTTAGATTAAACTGAGTCAGGTAGGGAGATGCAGACTCCCGGGTTGGGGCCCTCGGGACTCTAGGAATCAATGGCTGGAGACAATAGGTGACATGGCTCAAAATCGTTGTCAATGGCCAGCGCAGATGTATTCAGTCTCTGTAATCTTTCATATTCCTTTCTACCATTACCCATTCTGTTTCACTCTTATACTTGTCAGACTGCATTGATTCTCTTCACTCATCTTCTTGTCTACCTCTGTGTGCTATTTGGAACGTGGCAACTCGAACTGGTGCACTTCGGTGCCAAGTTCTATGTTGAATCCAGACAGACACAATAACTTTAGAAGCTTTGATAGGGTCAACTTGACGAGATAAGCTGGGTATAGCTTCATTTGAACCTTTGCCAAACCTATTCGATCCCCACGGGTCATAAAAACTATCCTCTATACGTGGGAGGGTGAACAGTATCGTCTATGTGGTCCGTTCAGTGTACTATGATCCACGCATAAGGGAAGTAATCCATTCGGGTTTTGTAAATTAAACCACTGGAGAAGTCAAGCAAAATACAGAGGGTTTGATAACATTCTTTTGCAAAAGTTTATCGTCTATTTTATTCGGCTTTTTTTAGATAATGTGCTATATTCGACTTGAAGGTTGCTTCCAAGATGGAGTGTTACCTGTATCGATCAGGCATTGAATCACTTTTGCTACTTCCTCCAGGTTTTTTCTGTCTCAATCAAATCAGCCTATAAACGTATCCCATTTTACTAAAGTGGGTTGTCGTTTCCGCCATTGGAGGTACTTCTGTCATTAACACTTGCTGTTTCTCATTTTTAGTGTCATTCTGTACTATGTAGTCAACTTGCTCCGTTTCGTATCATTTTAAAAATGGAATGATTATAATGATCCGTGTGGGGACCCTATTGCCGCAATCAATCAGAACAGAAAGCTTTTCTTACAGATCGATTTTTATTATGATTTGGCACGGGAACTGGATGAACACTGAAACCATGCTCAAGTAAAGCTGTACCTAATTCTAATGTCAGTAGAATCCTCCTCTTGGATTACATGCAACTTCTGCTGGCCGTTGTAAGCCACAGCTGTAGAGGGATCTGAAAACATTCGGCATCCCCTACTACCGCTATGGAGCCACATAATATCATAAGTGACAAGGGATGTGCTCATAACGTATCAAAAGGTACCAGGGATAACGTTATGATAAGAAAGCATATGGGTCACCTATGAAATCGGGAGGTAAAGTAATGTTACTAAAAGGGGCACCGACTAGAGGAAGAGCTCTTAAATGCCATAGAGGTATTTAGTGACTTCACATGGAGAATTCGGAAGCAACATTCTGCTTTTGTAACCCATTAACACATTTCAGTAAACTGCAACTGTTTTCACAACTAGTCATAGTTCAAGCTAGGACTGTAGACACAGTAACCCAACACTAGGGGCAATGCTCTTACCGGTGAGAAGGTATAATGTAAGATAATTCTCATGCTTTAACTGTACCCCTCTTTGGTTTCAGGTTGGCTGCATGACGTGTATGGATTGGTGTCCCAAGACAGTGCGGTGGGCAACCATTTGGAGGAATCCTACTCTCTGTAATATAACTGGTTGTAAATATATAGCCTTTGATTACGAGTGATGGTTCTTATTCTTACTGGCATGCGACACTTGTATGATCATCCTGGTAACCCGCTATTTGCTTTCTGTTTTTCAGGTTATTACTGGACGTTTAGCAGTACAGTGTGTTGGATAGTTAGTTTTCATTTCAGATTCTTACGCAATTTTACCGTCTTGATAATCACCGTGAAAAATGTGAGTACATTTTATCAGCTTACCATATCTACTACACATTTTTATTACATGAGTTGATTCAGAATTATATTTTATTCTCACTCTATTCTGGCTTTTGGGTACGATTAATTTACCTGCATTATTAAGACAAATAGCGAGTGTTATCAACAGTTTTGTAATGAACTGCCACTCGTCTTTTTAAAAAAATTTAGATTAGGACAATGTTTTGAGCACAATCTATTGCTCAAAACTATATATCAATATATTCACATATGGCTTCATTACCTCCAGATTTCTTCTGTAATTTTGTATATATCTAAAACATTAAAATTTAGTTGTATCTCTTCAAAAAAAAAAATAAATAAAACTTGACCATTACAATGCATTCACTTGCATGTATTTAGTTATACATTGAGGTAGAAGAGCAACTATAAAATGTTGAAGGCTAACTCCGCTAGCCAACAAATTGGTACTGAATAACCTATTAAATTCGTCCCATGAAACATGCATCTATCGTGTGAGAAATTTTTTTTATTTTTTTATTTTTGATTTACAGCTTGATTCCACACTGTATTTTTGGTACAAGTATGGAATTTTCAGCATGGATATCGGTAGCCCAAATTTTGCAGGCCGACCATAGATATCAGGTATGCGCCGGCGTGGGCTCGAACCCCGGACCATGTGCATGGTCGGCGAGAGTCCTAACCACTGTGCCACCGACGCATCAAATGTGTATTTAAGGCAAATGCATATTAAATAATGACATCTGAAACCAGTTTCGTCTAAATCCGTCTAAATGTCAGGTAGTCAATTTCACTTTCACACGTAAACGTGACCTACAGCAACTAGTTAGCTCACATGGCCCCACTATCATTGACGGCATAGAGGTTGAAATTACGCCTTATGTCAAGTACTTTGGGCTGGGTTTTTCCACCGATCTTCCCTGGTCCTCCCACATCTTGCTAGTTACTAGAAAGATGTTTCGCTTAACGTTCTACATTAGGAAGTTTGGACAGTCTGGCATAAAGCAGTCTTTGCTTTCTCAATTTGTCAATTCTTGTATTCTACCCATCCCCCTTTACTGCTCCCCACTAATCTTTCCTGGACTACTTAAGAAAGACTTTTCTTTGTTGAGAAAAGCACTAAAAGCCGTTAGTAGGGCAAGTGGGATATCGTTAAACCAACTGGTAATCACTATTGTGGATAGACATATTATTATGTCATTTAAGAAACTAGCGAATACTATATTGTCAGACCCCGAGCATCCTCTCTATACGCGGTTGTCTCCTTGCATTTCATCTGGTAGAACTAGAAGCAGCTATAGGAGGCTATGTGCTAGGACTACCAAATACAAAAAATCCACAATACCATATCTGGCTCAGCTGTTATGTGATGAGAAATCCGTTAGGTATGACACGATAAACTTACTGCGGCACTCAAACAAATAGTCCGATTGGTTTTTGTTTTCCTTTCTTCGTTACTATTACACTGTTGTTCTCATCTTCTATCACACACCAACTTTATATTTCATATCCTGTGGTGCATTGTTTGAAATGTAAACGCTACGCTTTTATTTTTATTTTTTTATTTATCTTTTATTTCTTGTGTTGCTTTTTAATTTTTAATTTTAAAAATCTTATAAAATTTATGAGGTGATTAGATGCAATATATTGTAATGCGTGCTGAAAATTCCATAGCTGTACTACAAATACTGTTTGGAATAAAGCTGTCATTATTATTAAATGAAATGATTGTGTATTATATGTTTTTTGGACCCGCTCATCATGCGTTTTTCAAAGTGTGATCAAAATCCTGCGATCGAATTTGTATGGGCCCCTGTGACATATATATGTATATATATATAATTCCTTTATTCATTTCGAGTTTATTGAGTTGTTCATGATTGCTCTTTTACGTTTCATTTAATTTCTTACAACTGATGTTTAGCTTTATTTCGAGAACTCTTATTTTGAATGAGTCATACATCAATTGTGACAGCCTAACACGTATGCATGTTATCACATAATTGGAGGCTAAAGGAAGGAAGCTTTGCTTGACCTAGGTTTAATGTTTGTTGGTACTCACCGATGAGAAAAGCATATATCTGCAGTCTTGAGGGAACTTATGTCCCTCCTGGGATATATCATTTCTGGGGATCGCATCATATGTTGATTATTAAACTAATTTTTTCCTGGGAAGAATAACTCTCTTTCACTTCAGGGTTTTAAACTTTTAACTTGCACATCTCTAAGTTTCTTGAAGGCTGAAATTACCATCTTACTATAGAAGCTTTAATTAAACGCTTACAGTATTATATACCACTATTATCATTCTCTTGATTTCCTAGTGGAACTTTAGGACGGTTCCAGCGACGCATTTCCACTTTGTTCTATTTTCTGCTGTCCTCTTTATCTGGACCCACGGTTGCCTATAGCCTCTCATCTCCTCCTCTCACAAACCCCGTCATATCAATGTCGGCCACCCAACTCATCGTTTCCCATTCAGGTACTAGCCGAACGATAGCCTGCATTGCGCGCGACATCATTCGACGGTCTCCTCAACGTGTGTCCGGTCCATCTCCATTTTCTTCGGAGTATTTGTTGTTCAATAAGTTCCTGGGTAACTAACTCGTTCCAAGAGTTCTTGCTGCTAATTTCTCCTGGCCTGCCCTTAGTCTTCAACATAGAGCGAAGGTAGTTGTGAATAAAAGTCTTCAGTGGCCTTCAGGAAATGTTTATCGTGACGTTCCAAGTCTCAGACTCATATATTCTAGGGAATGACTGACTGACATAACATTTGCGTTGAAAATCGTAATTTTGTTGTGTATGCTGAGGAGTGAAGAAGGTTGTCAAACTGATTTCAGAGTGATGAGAGTCTGTCTCATCTTTCCCATCCTGGTTTTGACATTCTCATTCGTAGTGTCGCCTTTAGTTGAAAGGCTGGCTCTCAGATAAGTGAAGAATGTGACCTCTTTTGAACTCCTCTGGTCGACAGTGATTGATTGATTGATTGGTTGGATATCTTCATCACCTCCGTCTTCTTTATGTTAACATGGGTAGTCCTGTCTTCTGTGACTGCTTCTTCAGCCAGTTTGTTGGTTTTCGCCTGCCTACAAATCTTCGAGTTTGTGTGACATTAGACATATATCATCGGCGCTTGGAATCCAGATATTCTAGAGTCTCCTCATAGATAATCCAGCGTATTCCTGTCTTCTCACTCCTTGTGGACAGTCTGATGCATAATCCAGTCCACCACAATTAAGAATATTATCCGTGGTGATAATAGACAGCCAGCTTGACTGATTAGCGGTACACACCCTTTGGTCGATAGTCGGATGTCACGTCTACGCCGGAGACGGCGTAAACTGGCATTTGCAGAACCAGCCCTCTGTATCCGTGGTGAGATTTTGTCAGAGATCAACCCGTTGGGCGTTGACTGATGGTACTTCCCAAATAAGTGAGGCGGTCAACGTGCTCTACCACTTCACTTCCTATTTCTAATCTGGGAGTCGGTGTAGTCCAGTCATGTAACCCCATCCTCTTACATTTGGCGGGAGCGAATCGCATGCGAAACATTCGTGGATTGCAGGTCAAGGTGTTCAGAAAACCGTGTCTGCATTTTGCCAGCGTCTTCACTCAGAAGGACTATATCATCCCGATGCATATTCTAAGTCAACGAGATTATTCCCTGGTAGGAAGTCAATCCCTCAGTCGTTGAAGTGAGTTAGGGTTAAGTCCATTAGTACATCTACGATGAAGTTGAATAGAAATGGGGATAATAGGCATCCTTGACGGACACCACTAGTCACCACTTCAGATGAAAACTCGCCGTAAGCCCTCACCTGGCTGCATGAGTTCGAGTAGAGTGCCTTAATCAGTGCAATGTATTTTCTCGTCATTCCCTTTACAGCTAAGCATCGCCAGAGAACTTCTCGATCGACAGAGTCAAATGCTGCCTTCAGGTCAAGAAATATAATGACTGTTGGACGCCGGTAGGAATGCCTATGTTCTAGAATCTGTTGGAGGGTGAAGATATGATCAATACACCCTCTTCCTGGTCTAAAGCCTGCCTGGCTCTCTCGTGTTTGTTACCCCCCTAGCACCACTCAGTCTACGCATGATTATTGAGCCTAGGACTTTAGATACTATATTAGTCAAGCTAATCCCTCTGTGATTATCACAAGAAGACTTGTCTCCCTTCTTGTATATGGGGATAATCAGTGACTTACACCAACCCGATGGGACTTCCTATGATTTCCAGACGCTGCTTAGAACCTCAGTTAATGCAGTCTGTAAACTGTCTCCACCGTACTTAAATACCTCTGGAGTCATTCCACCAGGTCCAGCTGCTTTGCCTAGTTTCAGATTGATGACAGCTTTAGTTACCTCGGTTAAGAAAGGGAGGCCTGTGTCTATATCCCATTCAGGAAGGTGTTGGATGTTCGGCAGGTTGAGCGTGGCTGTGGGCCAATTAAACTGCTCTTCATAGTGCTCTTTCCAGTCGTCTATCCTGGGAGCTAATTATGGTGCCATTTTTCTCCGAGATTGTTTCACTTATGATTTGCCTTCTCCCACCCGTTTCCCTGATGAGTGTAAGGAGTTGCCTAGTGTTCCCTATCGCCGATGCCTTTTTCATCTCTTTCGCCTTTGTCACCCACCACTGTTCACGGTCCTTGCGGAGACTTTTAGTAAGTTTCCTTTTGTGCAGCTTTCGCTCCTCACTGAATTCGGAGCTCGCCGGAATAAGTCTTCTAGCATCTATCAGTCCGGATGAGGCGGTAGAGATCCAATGGTTTTTACTCACCTTTGGATTTACCTTATTCGCAGCTTTTACAGCTGTATCTATGGCTGCCTGGATATTTGTCCAAGCTTCTTCAGGGTGAGCACAGCTGTCGAACACGGATATGTGTTTAGCTAGTTCTTTCTCAAATACGGATTTAGTTACCTGATCGAGCTGGGGATGTAATGGGTTTACCGCCAGCTGTTTCCTACGTCCGTTCAGTCGTAAGCACACACGAGCGC